TCTCGTACCAGTTTTCTGCTTCTGTACTCGTACTCAGTGTGACTTGCTGTTTCGGCAGTCGGAATCCGAGACTTCGACTTTGTGCCTTGCCACTGTGTCTGCGTCCGACCCTCAGTCGGAGTCAGTCGTGTCGAGTGAGTGAGTGTGTGTGTGTGCTCTCACTCTCTCCCTCTCTCTCTCCTCTCCCTCGGCTCACCCTCAGCCTCACGCCCGTCGCATTCCCTGGTCTTTGCACGGCCTGGCCGCCCGGTAAAACAAGGTGACCCGGGCGGCCCTGCTGGTAGCCTAGGTGTGTATCATTCGGCCATATGTGGTAGCAGCTTGCAACTTGTTTAGAATTTGACTCAGAAAGTGATCTTAGTTTCCAATTTCTACCGTTAGGGGGAAAAAAAAAAAAAAAAAAAAAAAAAAAAAAAAAAATACGATTTTCCACCCTTTTTGCCGTCAAGAGCTCTTCGCTCAGCATTCTCACGAACTTATCTTCGTTCTTGTTTTCCCCCCTTCGTTCTCACGTTCTTGCACCCGTTACCATCTTCCCTCAAATAGAACGTACGGTAATTAATTATCGCTGTACCTGGACTGAAAGTAGCCACAAATACAGCTATAATGACTGTACGTTTTGTCCAGGGGGAAGGAAGCAGTGTCTGTGTGAGAACCCCTCTTCGTCCCTCGCAACCATTGACCTCATGCCTCATAGGGCCTCACCAGTGTTGCATACTCGTGAATACTTCAACGAGTATGGGGCAGAAACCAAAGATCAACCAATATAGGATGAGCATGTATGCAGCGGAAGTCTGATAATGGACTGACTCACATAGACTGACTCACACAGATATCACTCCACACACAAACAATCGTGAGATGGTGGGGTCTGAGCCATTCATAGACGATGCTCAGGCCCCGTACACACATACACGGATGAAGGTGGGAGGAGAGACGAAAGAGGTGGGAGATGTAGGTAGCGCCAGATGTCACCGAGATAGAATCCAGTAGGTCACCGATATGGTAGTCCAAAATGTCATCGAACAAGATCGAAATGTCGTGGACAATAAGTCACCAATGTCGGAGATACAGAGTCCTAATGTAACTGGTGTCCAATCTGTGATGCAGCCGAGTATCATCCCCAACAATCTCCAAGTCTCGAACCCGGTAAGTACCACAGCCTCTTACCACCGAAGTCAACACTGATCTCTGTCCAACTAGTATCAAGTCTCCAGTCTGAGGAAGAAGAAGATGAAGTCTGAGGAAGAAGAAGGAGAAGAAGAAGAAGAAGAAGAAGAAGAAGAAGAAGAAGGAGAAGAAGAAGAAGAAGAGATGAGAGAGAGGAGGAGGAGGTGAGGAAGAGGAGAGCCAGGGACCGTGGAGGGAGGAGGAGACCTCGCTCCCGGATACCTGGTCCGTCGCAACTGCCTGCAGCCGAAGTCGGCTATGGCTGTCCGCTGTCTGGCTGTCTGGCTGCTCTCCTCGGCGCTGCTGCTGCGCTAGCTCGCGCTGCTGCTGCTGCTGCTGCTCCTGCGCTAAGAATAGCGCTGCTCCTCAACCGATACGCACTGGCATGATGCAGCATGCCGGTGGCTCGATGCCTCTCAATGAGGCTGGTACCGGTATAAGTACCGGTGGCCAAGAGGCCGGCCTCAATGCTGCGAGGCCTGGCCGTGACCTGAACCGTCGAGATCGACGGTTCAGATCAGATTGGCGGGCGGCAGGCTCAAAAGCACCGCCAGGCCCAAAACGAGAATGTCATTTGGGCCTGCCCGTCAGTCTGGTCCAAAAACGTGGCCTTTACGGCCTGCTGTACCCCAAGTCCGGGCCTTTAGGCCCTACTGTGTCCCTCTGGCCCTAAGTCGGGTCTGGTAGGACCCGTGTGGCGTCGAAGATGTAACACCAGGCTGCTCACAAAACAAAAAAAAGGTGCGTGCATCTTGCCAAAGAAGGCAGCAAAATTCATCCATTTACTATCAATAGTGACAGATGTGGTATATACCTTGCCACCTATAGATGGATCCTTCCCGGGGGAGCTAGAGGTGTCTGCTCTTACCAGCGCCCCTAGCTCCCACACGGGCTGCTTCCCCCCCTTAAAAAACACTAAAAAAAGGTAGGTATCTTGCCACTTTCTGTGTCAGTGGATCAGTTCCTCTGGGCTTCAGCCCTCCTCCGTGCAAGCGCGGACTCGAACCGGTGACCTCGGCCTCCAGAAGAGCCAAGTATCGTAACCACTACAGCCAGGACACGGTGTTCGAAAGCGGAACCATACCGGCCGTGATATCCGCCCCACCCCTGCAAGGCTGTAGTGTCCACACGCAACGCACACCACACGCAACACACCACATGGACGCTGGCAATCACCGCACACTTCGCTCCAAGTAGCACATGACCCCCATCGGTAGTGTGGCCAGATGATCCACTCACATTTTTTTTTCTTTCCGTGAGGTATTGACATTTGATTGATGTGGTTCGGTTATTTAAATTATTTTATTTGCATCTATTTATTGGGGGGTGGGGTCGGGGGGGGAGAGCAGCGGAGGGGGTAATTAACACACACTTAAGAGGAGCGAGCCAGGTCAACCCTACCCCAGAACCCACCCCCCCTGGGGATGCATGAGTGCCCGAAGGACAGGCTGGGTTGGCGAAGGGAAAGGAAGAGTATTATTTTTTCTGCGGCCAGATGCAGTCACATTTTTTTCTTTTCATAAGTAGTGTCATGCCAAGGAAGGTGGCAAAATACATCCACGTTGACTATCTCGCGTAATGGATTTTTTTTTTTTTTTTCATTTTGTGAGTAGTGTCACGGTGCGTTGATGCCCGTAGTCAAGCCAGGTGGAACTTCGCTTCTCTTTCTCTGAAGAAAAAGATGTCCTCTCTCCTCTCTTGCGACATCTGACGCACCCCAACAATTCAGGAAGTTGGGAGTACGTTTAATCATTGGCAAGTGGTCGTATGCTTCATGAGTGGCATGAACTATCGTCTCGATCTATGAAGAATTGCCTCGCTCCACTACCGTCTTCACCCGAATAGAACGCCCGGTCATTATCGCTGTATCTGGACTGAAATTGCACCAAATGCTGCTATCATGACCAGGCGTTCTATTCGGGTGAAGACGGTAGTCACCACATGCACAAAAACGCAAAAAATATGGCATTGTATGTTCCCATGTTCCCGCAGAAGATTCATTTTCATTTTGCACATTTGCTGAGCAGTGAAGCGAGGCCCGATAAAATCGGATAAATCATAAATGTCCTTCTCTCCTCTCTGGCGATCCCTGCCTCACCCCAACGATTCAACAAGTTGAAGTATGTTTATGTAGACAAGGGCGCAGGACTTCATGTGTCGTCTTTCGCACGGCGCAGCATAACCGAATAGCTCCGCCACCAATCAAGGATCTTGTGCAACAGAATGAATCACCGGTGGTGGCGCGTACGGAGTAACTTCACACAAGCGGTATTAACGAACATTCTGACGGGCTCCTTCAGGGCAAACTCACACTAGGTCTGTTTTACATATTTACGAACGTAATTGCAGTCAGATTCATCCAGGTGCAGCCGTAACTGCGGTCAGATACATTTAAGATAGAGCTACCGTGTGTGAGTACGCCCTTCAGAATGTGAATTAATGCCACTCATGCATAAAGTATCTGGCATCTCTGAAGCTGCTTCGCCTCGCTTTTACTGATTATTTCAGTTGTCAGAGCTCAACAGAGTGATCCTGGTCCCCATTTGTCAGATGGCTGACCTGGAATCCGTTCCACGTTCGCCAGTTTGAATCCATGCATGCACGGAGGCGGTCGTTGTCTTGCGGCTGATAAAGTGCAAACTGTACTTCAACCGGGTAACCAGCCCGGAAATCGTACCTGGATGTGGTGGCCCGCGGATAAACCGTGGTATAAGCAGTTGTGCTGGATGAGAGCGGAGTGTGCGACTACTGCCTGTGTGGCAGATGCCTTGTGTGGTGTTTTCTTTTTTTTTTTTCTTTTTTTTCGTGTGTGCGTGTGTGTGGAAGGACACTACAGCCGTGCAGGGGTAGAGTGGATATGACGACCGGCAGGGATCCACTTTTGTGTGTGTGTGTGTGTGTGTGTGTGTGTGTGTGTGTG